ACTTTATAAAACAACTAGTAGACTCAAGTATTTTACATTGATAGGGATTTTTGTTTGTCGAGACAAATTTAACTTTATTTTTGTTAGAACATACTGTATATATGTTTCTATTCTTGTTTAAAGAATTGTACCTATTCAGCTCATTTAAAAATTTAATTGTATAAAGTTCTAGTCCTTGAAAGCTATTTAGGATAATAAGAAATGCGGGTTAGTAGTTGGTCATCTACAACAATCAAATTTGTGGCTATGTTAGGTAGGTTGTCAAGGTGAAACATATATTTTAGGTAGATAAGTGGTCTTTAAACACTTCAGAGCCCTGAAGAATATGACATTTAAAACATTTTAATAACTAAGACTTTTCATGGTAGTGAGACATGTTTGCTCCTGACAGCACCAATTTATTTTAAAACAAAATAAAAACAAACAACAACAACAAAAAAAACCCCAGATGATGGGCATCAAAGAACTTCTATATGGAGGAGTTTGCTTTTATTGTGGCAAAGTTAGACACTGGGCAAGAAACTGCCTTGCCTCTACTGCTGAAAGCATGATGTCCGAATTGGACAAGCAGGACACAAAATGAAGTGACTACTGAGCTTTGCCAAGATGAGGTAGGACTGTTCTTCAAAATTCCTGCTTCACAGAAAAGGGTCAGATATTCCAGGCCTTTAGGCCAAAGATGGATGCCCCAATGTTGCAGAGAAAACTTGGGTGACTGTCCGGGCAGTCAGCTCTCTTTGTCATCTCTATAGTTTGGAAAGTCATTTCCTCTGCACTTCCTGCTTACTCAGGCAATATTATATCCTTCTTGAGTCTCTGACAGGGTTGAAGAATAAATAGATAGTTATAGTTTTACAGTTTTCTTTGTTATCAAATTCAGAGAAAAAATCTACAAAAGAGATTTAAAGTTTATAAGGTTGAGAAATATAAAAGCTTAACTTATTTATCTAAGAAAATGTTTTAATGTCTAAAAAGATATTTTTAGGATGGTAGTATATGATAGAAAGGGAATTAAGGGGGCTGGAGAGATGGCTCAGTGGTTAAGAGCACTGCTTGCTCTTCCAAAGGTCCTGAGTTCAATTCCCAGCAACCACATGGTGGCTCACAACCATCTGTAATGAGATCTGGTACCCTCTTCTGGCCTGCAGGCAGAGCACTGAGAATATTGTATACATAATAAAAAATAAAAAAAGAAAGTGAAATAAGTTCAAAAATTTGGACTCACCGGTATAGGATAGATAGTATATTCTCTGAATTTGCTGAATGCAAATGGCCTGGACATTGTGAATATAATTCTGAGAATTGTTCTTATTGTGCAGTTTAAGTTTAAAACCTTCCCTTTTTATTTAGACAATACCAGATAGTTGTTCTTATTGTATATAGTAGTACTGTATTAAAGCTAAAACCTTCCCTTTTTATATAGGCAATGCCTGATAGTTGTTCCTATTATATATAGTATTACTGTATTAGAGTTAAAACCATTTCCTTTTATTTAGACAAAAGGGACGAAATCTTGCAGGAGATTTATTCTCACTGACACTCCAAGGCTTCCAATAAAATTAAACCTTGAATTAGAAGGCAAAGTCAATGTTCGGCTGGCCAGAATTAAACATAGAGGTTTTGGAGGACTGAGCAAGGAGGGCACAGGAAGTAGTAGGGAGGGCCTTAGAAAGATGTGTGATTTTATCAGTCTGGAAGTATGGAGGGGCAGGGTTAGCTGATTGTTCCTCCGTCACTCTAAAGATCTATCAGGTTTTTACCCTAATATCTGACTCCCAAGTTTTATTTAATAATAGAACAATATAAATAATTGCTTCATCTTGTGATTCATTTTGTTGTTTGTTTTTATTTTAATTTTCTTTCAGGGGGAGGTTATAATGGTGGAGTGTAGATATGGAAGGACTGGGAAGTGAGTGGGATTGGGATGCATGATGTGAAATTACTGAAGAATCAATAAAATTATGGGGGAAAAAAGACACTGAAGACAGAAGCTAGGTTTGGCGATGTGTTTGTAATCCCAGAATTTTGGAGATGGAGGCAGGAAGGACAGGAGTTCAAAGGCAGTTTTGGTACCCTGTCATAAAGAAAAAGTTAGCACTATACCTCCAGGGAACGAATGAAGGCGCTTCCCAGATCCTGTCCCTGATGGGAAGTTAGTGCAGGCTTCCCACAGCAGCTGTGCTGGCCTTGGGGTTCTGTTACTTCTGAGATTTTACCTGTAAATCCCCATAGCCAGCATCTCGGCATCTCAGTGTTCAGGAGGCTGAAGCAGGAGGGTCAGGAAGAAATTCAAGATCATTCTTGGCTTCATAATGAGCTAGAGGCCAGCCTCGGCTACATAAGACCTAGTCTCAAACAAAAAAAAAAAAGGAAAGAAAGAGATTGATCAGCTATATAATCCATATTTGAAGTGGAAAAAATATTCTACAAATCAGTGTGACCGTTGGGGCCAGAGCTGCTGTTTTGTTCTCTAAACCTCTTGCTCATCTGGTCCTCTGAAAAGACAAGGGGTTAGGGCTGTAGCTCGGTCCCCAGCACATAGAAACTAGACACAACACTTGCCTATCCTTTGGGAGGAAAATGCAGGAGGACCAGAAGTTCATGGTTTCCGTTGAGTTGGAGGTCAACCTGGGGCTGCTTGAAACCCTGTCTTAAAACAAACAAACAAAACCAGTCAAAACAAGTCATTAATGGGAAAGTTTCTAAGTCTAAATAAGGCCTACAGTTTAGTTCATAGAAATTGCCAGTGTTGTGTCTCTCAGTTTTGTGATGTCCAATAGTTAATAAAAGCTTAAGATTAGAGGAACTGGGTAAAGAATACACTGTGCTGTCTCTACAAATATCTTTAAACTTGCCCTCTAACCCTAAAACAGAAAAGACCCTTAGGGCTAGGAAGATGGCTCAGTGATGAAGGCACTTGCTGCCAAGTCTGATGACCTGAGTCTGATTCTCAGGTCCCACATGGTGGAGGCAAAGAACTGACACCTGCAAGTTGTCCTCAGACCTCCATATACACACCACAATATAAACACCTCCATAAACACAACAAAATAAACACCTCCATATACACACGTCAGCCTGTATTCATCTGCCCACACACAAATAGGAAATAAGAGTATAAGCTTTAAAATTGTTTTTAAAGCCTTTCAACTGCTTCCAAAGAATTCAGGCTCCGGACCCAGGCTTCTGAGGTTCTTCAGGAGGTCTAGCCTACCCCTTGCCTTGGATCCAGGTGGCGGTGAACATCGTCACAGCCCTCTGTGTGGTGGTCTTCTCGACTTACTGGCTCACGTTCTAACTGCAGTTTTAAGGGTCTCACAGTTTCTCAAGGACAAGGTACTGTTGGTCTTAGACCCAGGTGTTCTAGAAATCCTTCAAGCAGAGACTGAAGTGTAGGAAGAGAATAAGGATTCTGTTTCGGGTAGGCTTTGCGCTTAGTCGGCCTTAATTAAGATGCATAGGGTTTCTGTGCCTCTCTCCAGAGATTCCTAGCCTGCCTAGCTTGCAGCTGGCTGTCATTCCCTAGGCTGGTCACGAGAGGGCAGTGCAGAATGCCTTTTCTCAATTGAGGCTGGTAGTGCCCTGGTCTTCATACACTTCAAAATATTGGGTGTGGTGTGCTAGTTTTTAATCCCAGTGTTTGGAGGACAGAAATAGGTGGATCTCTGTGAGTTCAAGGCCAGTCTAGTCTATAGTGAGTTCCAGGAAAGCCAGGTCTATGTAGAGAACCCTGTCTCAATTTAAAAAAAGAAAAGAAAGAAACAAGAAAAGAAAGAAGTGTATCTTGAGCAGTCCCAAGGATAAGGAAGCTTACCTCCAATACCTTGACTCCCCAGCCACACCTAGGAACATATTTTCAGGACAGTCACCTAGTAGTTAGATTTTGATCAGAGTCTTTCTTGGGCTTGGGGGGACCTTCCTGTACCTGGAAGACATCTTAAAATTTTTATTGTCATTGTGTGGTATAATTCGTTTGCATGCGTGAGGTTTGTGTATGTGAGCATGTGTATCCAGGTATGGACATGCCATGTGTACACGTGGGGACAACCTGGGACATCAGGTCTCTCCCTCCACCATGGTTTCAGGGATTAAATGCAGATTATCAGGCTTGCTCAGTAAAGACTTCACCCTCTGAGCCAGTTCACCCATCCCCCCCCCCCCTTTTTAAGAAAATTCAGAAGCTTTTGTCCTCTCCTGCATCCACTGTCTCTTCTCTACTCTTAGGTCTAAACTTATTTTCTTAACTTTGATTTTGTTTTGTTTTGAGACAGGGTTACACTAGGTAGCCCAGGCTGGCTTTGAAATCACCATAATCCTCCTGTCTCAGCCCCCCAAACCCTGGAATTATAAGGGTGTGCCACTTCCACACTGATCTAATCAATGAATAACACAGGAAACCACAGAATTGTACATGTTAAAAGGGTTACTCTTACAGTGTGTGCAGTCTACCTCACTTTAAAAGGAAAGACCGGGAGCAGCCCCTCAGGTGGCTTGAGCAGAATATAATTCATCGGTGGTGCATTCTTGAGAAGCCTGGGTGCTTTGCCATTGCCTCATTGATTAGAGAAATTACTGACCTTCCCTCTCAGGTCTTCTGGAACACGCTTGCCCTTCTGAGATATATGGGACATGACTCACCCAAGCCCTGCTGCCATCATGAGACATCACGTGGATGGTGGTAAGAATGGTGGCAACTGGTCTAAGAGCTGAGTCTAGGATGAGGAAGGTGGTTCAGAGATCTTTGGGGATTTTGTTTGCTTGCTTTTTTTTTTTTTTTTAATTCAGGGTTTCATGTAGCCCAGGCTATCCTCAGACTACTTAAGTAGTATAGGGATCTTTCTGCCTCCACCTCCCAAGTGCTGTTATGTGCCATCACGCCTGGGACACATGTAGACAGGGTCTCACAATACAAGCCCAAGCTGGCCTGGAACTTACAGTAATCTTGTCTCAGCTGAGTGCTGGGATTTACAGGCAAGGCTTCAATGGTGTTTCCTCAGAAGTTATTCAGGCAGTCTCTTTCTCCAGATGTTCTTTTTTTGAGGCCAAAATTCTGGCGCTGACCTGGAAAGCAGGCAGGGAGATTATGGGTCCAAGCTAGAGCCGAGTCACTCCTGACTTGGTCCTTGGTTGCCAGTACAGACTTAGGTACTATGCCTGGACCCTTGTACCTGATCGATTTTTTCCTGCTCAGTTGAGAAAGTGTTGGTCTTGTGTTTGATGCCATTGCTCTTGGGTTTATACAACTTCACTCTTCCAGTAAACAAGGGCATGTAGGTGAGCCTGGGGTAGACTTGATCCTCAAATGGCACCTGCGAACCCAGCACATGGGAGGGGACAGAGCAGTCAGCTGAAAGAGGACTAAGTCCCGCTCTCTGCATGTCACAATTTGTCAGGTAAGGAATCACAAGGAGCATGCTTTTGTTCTGCCTTAGGTGAAAATGGAATCTCTAGGGGCTGGAGAGATGGCTTAGTGGTTAAGAGCAGGTACTGCTTTTGTGGAGGACTTGAGTTTGGTTCCTAGCACCCAAGCTGAATAGCTTACATAACCATCGGTAACTTCAATTCCTGGGGCTCAGACATTTCTCGCTTCTGAGGTCACCTGCATTCAAATGTACATACTCACATGCATGTAATAATCATAATAACAGATATAAAAATGGGATCATTAGTACTTAGTAAGCGGGCTTGGGAAATACTCTTGTTCAAAATCTCTCTGAAGGCAAGTGAGATACTAGCTGAGAGGGTAAAGTCACCCACTACCAAGCCTGGTGGTGGGGCTGGAGAGGCAACTCAGTGGTTAAGAGCTGCCAGCTCACAAATGTCTCTTGGATCTGATGCCTTCTTCTGGCCTCCACAGACACCAGACACGTTTGTGGTGTACAGATGTGCAAGCAGGCAAAACACCCATACACAGAAAATATAATAATACAAAAAAAGGGTTTTTTGGTCTTTTTTTTTGTTTGTTTTTTTAGGTAAACTACTGTATAGTTCCTACTAGGGGTTTTTCTTTTCTTTTCCTTCCTTCCTTTCTTTCTTCCTTCCTTCCTTCCTTCCTTTTCTTTTCTTTCTTTCCTTTTTTTTTTTTTTTTGGAGACAGGGTTTCGCTATAGTTTTAGAGCCCGTTCTAGAACTAGCTCTTGTAGACCAGGCTGACCTCAAACTCACAGAGATCCTCCTGCCTCTGACTCCCAAGTGCTGGGATTAAAGGCATGTGCCACCATAGCCCCAGCTTCCTACCAGGGGTTTTTCGTTGTTTCCATAGCGCCCTTGAGGCTGAGACCTCCAGTCCTGGAAGAAGTGCTTGCCGGTCAGTTCAGCTTGGAATTTGCCTTGGAAGATTCCAGGTGTGTGTGGGGGCCACTTGCTCTTGACTCTTCTCGACAGGATCTTGAGAGGTGGCAGACAGGACACCTGGGAAAGAAAGACAGAACAGCTTTAACACTAGTCAAGGATGACCTTGAACTTCCCACCCTCCTGCTCGCACCTTCCAAGTGCTGAGTGCCACACTATGCCCCGTTTATACTGTGCTGGAAATCAGAGTTGGGGTTTCATGGATGTTGAGGAAGCCCTCTGCCACCCCAGGCCTGGTTACCTCTTGACAGGGAAGCTTGGGCACTTTACCCTGGGTGTTGTGGCTTCATCAAACTTGGCAGTGCTCTTTGTCCCAATACTCGCTATCCCTGGCTTTGTCTGGCTCAGCTCCTGATGTGCGTGGGTCGTGGGCCAGCCGGGTGCCATTTCCCTTGACACACGTTGTGCGGATTGGCTGCATAGGGAACAAAAGATTCTAGTGGTGGTCACCTCCCCCTTTGAGCCAACTCAGATGACCTGAACAGAAGGGCCCTGTAGCCTGGGCTTGCCTCCTGGCCTTTCATTTGTGGGTTTGCCTAAATGAAACAATATATTTTCGGGTCCTTGCAAATGAAAACTTCTTTATTGCTTCTCTGGAAAGAAGTTTCTTCTCCACATCTCTGTTATCATGCTGTGTCTTAGCAGAGAAAATGAGACACCTGCCGCCACAGGATGGGATACCGGGAGCGTACTAAACACTGCCTAGCAGGTAGCTAGGGACTGCAGGCAGCTTAGAGAATGGGGGATCGGGGTTGAGAGAGCTTGGACGTGTGTTTGCTGGTGGGGTATATAGCTCTTTGTGTAACTAGGCTGATGCACAGGTCACTCTGAGGAACACATCATCTGTAAAGCACACAGTGGTGTCTCTGGGCTCAAGCTGGGCTTCCTAACTGGGTAGGGATGCATTAAAAGGCCATCTGGGGACAGAGGGCAGGACAAAGATGCTCTGTACTCCAGTGAGACTGGGAAGCCTGGGTCTTCCTAGTTTGCAGTGGGGACTTTATGTCTCCCATGAATACACAGGGGATGGGGCTGACCCTGAATTTAGGACGCTTGCTCCCATACCAGTTTGCCCTTGTTCAAATCTCAGGTGAAGTCAAAGGTCTAAGTTAAAGCTGAGCTAGAGGGAAGTCCAAGATTCCCGAAGACTGAGCCCTTTGCTCTGTAGCTTGACAACTGTTTTTCTGAGGTGACAGATAGTGTACTTATAATATTACCGGACCCTTGGGAAACAGGCCCCTCCCTGCCTTTCTCCCACCCATACTGCCCCGCTGGACGATTCTAGATACTCACACATTCCCCTGACCGCTCTTGTCTAGACCAAGTGAGAGGACTTGACTCCACATTGGAACTTGGGTGTTATTCTGGTCCTGGCTGACATACCCCTTGTGGCTCTGGTATCCTCTTGGTGCTGTTCTTCTGCCCTGAATGTGACCTGGAAGGATTACATAGGGAGCTGAGGATGGCCTCGAACTTCTGATCTTCTTGCTTCTACCTCGCAAGTGATGGGGTATGTATCACCGTGCCTGCACCATGCAATAATGGATCTCAAACCCAGGACTTTGTGCCTGCAAGACAGGCACACTGGGGACTAAGCTACCTCCAAGCCTCTGTCCATCCCTTTGCTTTGAAAGCCTGGCCTGCAGGACTGTCATCAGGCCCAGCCAAAGGAGGGAGGAGGGAAGAGGGAGGAGGGAAGGCTGTGTTGTGGTAAGTGGTGTGACACCTTCCAGAGCTAGACAATACCTAAAGGGCTATTGCTGAACCAAGCCTTTGCCCTGTACTGTATTCCACTGCGATCAGTCTGGGGGCCGGGATAGGATTCAACAAGGTGTTTGAGAACGGGGGTTCAAATTTTGCTTTATGTTCAACGTCATCTTCTTATAACTCCTTCTTATAACTCCCCCCCCATTAATTCTCACTTGTATGGGAGGGCTCGCCCCTGTGGTGTGGCATGTCCTCCATCTTCCAGGGCTTGAGCCATTCTCGGTGGGATTTGCTGAGCGGATTCCATTTTGGCTTGTAGCGCTGGCTGTGTCCACTCGAGCTCTTTCTCTGCAGTGGAACCTCCGCGAGCAGCTGAAGGCGGTATTTAACATCTGTTGGCGCGATTTCCTCCCCTTCTAGCCTCTGGAGGGCAAACCCGGGCTGCTGATTTCTCTGCTGGGAAGTTTACTTGGTCAGAGGGGTCATTGCTGGGGTTAAGTAGGGGAAAGAGAGTATGTGTGGGGGTGGGGTGGGGTGATCTTAGTTTCCTAGAGTAAACATTTGTCAGTGTCAACTAGAAAGTTACTTGTCTAGGTGCTGGAGAGACAGCACAGTGGTTAAGAGCACTGCCTGCTCTTCCAGAGGTCCTGAGTTCAATTCCCGGCAACCACATGGTGACTCACAACCACCTATAATGAGATCTGGTGCCCTCTTCTGGCCTGAGGGCATACATGCAGGCTGAATACTGTATATATAATAAATACTTTTTAAAAAAATATTTATTTATAATGTGTATAATATTCTGTCTGTGTGTATGTCTGCAGGCCAGAAGAGGACACCAGACCTCATTACAGATGGTTGTGAGCCACCATGTGGTTGCCGGGAATTGAACTCAGGACCTTTGGAAGAGCAGGCAATGCTCTTAACC